AATAACCCTCAGTAGGCTCTTCTATTTTTCACCTAGAAGCAATTATTTCATATTATCCAGACCTGCTTATTCTAACACATCTTGAATCCTTGGGGAAAAAAAAAAAAAAAAAAAGAGAGAGAGAAGCTTTCTGAACCAAATGAGCAACATTTTAGTATCACCTACCAGATGGGTTTCTTTTCCAGTCAGATACATGCTGACATGTTGCCCTATTAGAGTCAGGTGCTGGGAGGAATTGGCAGTTTTTCCCCTGTTGTTGCTAAACTGCTGTGGTTTGGTCATGGTGCATCACCAAGGGGAAGAGCTGCTGGAGGAGTGAAGGAGCACAGCCTGCTATTTTCTGCTTCTGAGCATCACATGGACATCACACCGTTCTGCTGCACACAGTGACTGGAAGGCTTTTACAGATCTTAGCAAAGGCAAAAAAATCCTGAAAATCCTTCAAAATTGCTCCCAGGAAGGCTACATTTTCAGGAAGACATATAAAAAGTATACACACACCCAGGAAACATATTATGCACACGATAAGCTTGTGCAGGCACCTCCTGCGTAATAGTTCCCAAATGTGCTACTTAGTTATTTTTAGGTAATGTAGGAAGTTTGTACAAGCCAAACACTGTAACACCATTTTCTTGTTGCTACTGTAATGCCAAGACAGCTTCGTGCCTGTGTGGGCTTTAAAATAGCTCACATGGACAGGGTAAGCAATGTTTTTTGAAAGAAAAATAGCAAATGTCACTGTTTTCAGGGTCATCCTACCCAGCTCTCCTTTTGGTCAAACATATGCTCCAGTGAAAAGGCAGCTATTTATTTCTTGGTACACAGCACACATTTTAGGTGTTACTATTAGAATCTTAGGAGAAAAAAAAAATAAAAGGATGAATTAATTTCAAGTCATCCATATTTCAGTGTTCACTTCTAGTATAGTGAAATAAATCCCACTAAAGAGTATAGCACACATGTACCTATGGAGTAATTCGGCATTTTAAAGAACTTCAGTGACTTGCTCTGAACAAGCAGAGAAACCTTCTTTGTGTTAACAATTTAACAGGCGCCCAGGAGAATGCTGGCAGTGTAGAGAAGTGGGTTGCTTGTCCCTGTAGTTTTCTGCTCACTGACCATCCTGTGAGAGTGTCACTTCCCATACCGTACCATATCCATGGGCAGAGTTCCACTAGCTGAAATGGATACAAATCCTGTTTCACATTCCTTTAGGCCTTCTTTACAAAGGGAGCCATGAAGGTTAACTACACCTGCATTTTCAGCAGGTGATTATTAGCATATAGACACTATTTTTGTGGTTTGTGACCCATGAACTAATACTAGAAAAAGAATCAAAGTCACCATGCACCTTTGGAATGGGATTTTGGATAAAGTAATCATCAGTCTCTGATGAAGACCTAATTGTGAACATGCAAGAAAACGACCTATTCATCTCCAGAAGTCACTTGTACCTAAGAACATAAGAAGTGTCACAGAGGATTAGAAATAGGAAGTTTAGCTCTGTGCAGTGTCTTCAGCATTTGTTGTTAGTGTTGGGCTGAGAAAAAGGACATTTAAATGGGGATCCTCCCCTTGGTATATCTTTCTAGCACCTAGCAAAAATTTATTCTGCTAGAGTTTGCACCTGAATCATCATATTTCTCAGACATCAACAGACCTGTCTAGTCCTCTCCAGAGCCCACTGATACTTCTGATCTCAACAGCAGCCAGGAACAGGGAGTGATTTAGAGTGTTGTCAAAAAGTGCACCCTTTTATTGCTTCAAGCCTGCTGTCTCTAGTGCTGGGATTGTATGAAACAGTGAATAATCTTTCCCTGTTTGCTGCCTGCCTGCCTACCTTTCATGATGTTACAAATCTATGCCTGTCCCTGATCTTTAACTGTTCCATCCACACTATGCCGTGGGATCAAGGCAGGCTATCACCAGACACAGATACTTTTGAATCTGGGTTGTACCTCCAGCAGGAACATATGATTCCTGCAGATCTCATTATGGAATGCTGACATAAACAGAGGCTCAATGCAGCATATACTTCTCCCCAGGGTCTGCAGAGGGAGCTGATGCTGGAGAGGAGGGTTCCACAGCCACAGAGAAGTCATGGTTTACCTAGTCTTTTTACATTAAGGTTTAAAAATACGTATGTTGTCACATAAGAGATGAAGGAATGATTTCTGTTGTTAGCTCTAGGTTTATTATTCCAAAGTCAAGAATATCAACCTAAAAATCCCATCAGAATAGTTCTCAAACCTCTGTTGTGGATTCAATAACTGTATGAAAATGCCATGTTGCTTGCAGGAGGAGACTTCCCTACATTGCATTTGATGTTGTAGCTGACCTTGGACAAAGATGCCATGCCTCTGGCTGCTGGGTTCATACCTATTGCTTCTGATTTAAGATTTTTCACTTTCAAATACGCCAGAAATTATGGAAGTCAATCCTTCTGGCCTCTGCAGTCAATGTGATATAGATGAACAGCAAAAATATACTCTAGATAAGCAAGTTAAACAAGGGTTAGACATTAAAACACAGAAAAAAGAATTAAGTCCTATCTGTAATGTTAAAAATGTGTTGAGAGAAATACAGTGTTTACTAAACATTTCTAAAGACAGTAACCACCTATGTCAGACCTATCATTGAATCAGGAGTTTGCTATACTACAGAGACTGCAAATTCTCTTTTTCAGTATACCACAGCTTTACAATAATGCAGTGCCCATTGCAGTTCAATAGTAAAGATGCCAGCCAAAATAAAGATGCCAGCCAAAATAAAGGTACCAGCCAAAATGAAGATGCCACCTTCCACCTCTCCTCTCCCATCCTCCCTAGAAGTTGGCTTGGCAGCAGAATAACCTTCAAGAGGAACAATATTATCTCTTCAAATGTAGCGTGGAGTATCGGATGGTTAGTTCTGCAGAACCCTTTTGACCTAGAGACATAGGCAGTGTCATTATTAGAGATGCATTATAGTTCTGAAATGCTCTTGATGATGCAAACTCTCTAGGTTAACTCTACTGTGCATAATCACCCAAAGGAGAAAAACATGATAGAGCAGACAGAAGACTGAGGAATAGTGCATAAATAAATATATTTCACTAACTGCTGTCCTCTCTCACATTCAGTTACTGAAGCAAAGTCAAGATCACAATGTCTCCTGTTGCTTATGAAACTGCAAAAATCAATGAATAAAGTTACCTGGAGACATATTACAGTGCAAAGCTGTGGGACTTTTTTAGAAAACTTACACAATAAATTAGAAACTATTGCCAAAATTTATGATCTTTTTCTTCCTCCTTTTTTTTTTTAACTCCATCCCCTTATAATGTTATTATTCTCCAACCTTTCATCATAGGAGAGCCATAATTTATTATCTTTCTTTTTTCCCAAAATGTGTTTGGAGAACTTAAGAACAAAGACATTATAAGAGATAACAGGACTGAAAATGATACACACTTTTGCATTTTCTCTGTGTGCATCCTCTGACTTACCCCTTTCCTTTTAGTGCTCTTCATTTCTCAAATTGCCTGTGATTGTTCTATTACAGCTGCTTATAGTATTTATCTTGCGTAGTTTGGTGTCATTTGCCTGCTTTGTCTGACACTCACAATAGAACTGCATGTGCCACCATTAGAGAGGTAATCTTATGTCTGCTACACAGAGGTCTCATAAAAGACACATTTCAAAGATTTCCTATTTCAAAGATACCTGAAAGTATAAAGTAATTCCACATTTCCTGGCGGCTTCCAGTTATCACACAAGTCCATCAGGCTCCCAGACTTTCTGAGGCACTCCCTTGGTTTAAGCTGCCTCTGATTTACATGCCATGGTGAATTTTGGCTGTTGCAGCTCCATCTGAGGTCTGGGAAAAACTGAGCTGTTTCCTGGTGTTTCGGGATTGGGTCCTCTAAAAGCTGGTTGACTTTAAGGATACTTGCATGGATTTCCTTCACTGTAACTAGGCCAAAACACACCATAAATGCAAGCATGTCACCATCATGCATGCCCAGCTTTGTCCACATATCGTTTGTGCCTGACCTCTGCATTTTTTTTCACTTCTTCAATGCAAGCTCTCTGTTGGCCAAAGCCTGGACTAGGCAATTTCATAGACACAATTTAAGACAAACAAGAAATGTTTATTTTATGTTCCCATGCTTTTAGTTAACCACTGTTTTATTGAGGGTGGTTAAGATAAGATGTTAAGGTCAGACATTCATGTTCACAAATCTGTGGTTCTCTGACCATGAAAGAAAAAACAGTTGGAATAAGACAATATGAATTATAAACACAAATCAGCCCTTGAGTTTTCCTATTCAGTGGTGCATAATCAATACAAATTCTTTTCAGACCTGAATATTGTGTGAAGCAGAAGCTATCTTTCTTTTCATGCTTCCTGGCTACAATATCATTATGTACCCTAATTGACTCTGTAAAAACCTATTAGGTAAGATGAGAGAGGTGGTGTGAAATACAGAACCAAATCTGCTTTCTACTAGAAAATATATCTGCATCAAATATTTCTTCTTTTTTTAAAAAAAAATGCACACAACTAAAGAGACATCTTCTGAGTGGAAACATGAGAGAGGGTCATGATGGAAAATGGCTGGCCAAAGCCAATGCCATGCTGGATAGAGGAAGTTAAAATTGGCATGTTCTTTCCCCTCAGATCAGAGTTTCTATAAAGAGAGTTTTGAACACAATGAAAAAACACCACATTATCCCTGTGCCTTAGTTATCGTGACCTTTAAATGTCTTATTTCCAGAGAGGCTGGTTTAAAGATGTTATATTTTATACAGTTGAATGCCATATGATAAAACTTTTCTTTTTCTATTATGTATTTCTTTTGCTTTCCTTCCTCATTTGTCTTCATTCTCTCCTCTTAGTTTCAGAAACTAAAAATTAACTAGTCACTAAGACCTTAATTTGTCAGTTCACATTCTGCCTCAGCAAAGCAATGCAGAAGATAACTCTGCAAGTACCTTTGGTGAGACATAGGCATAGGCTGGAAGCTCACTGTGTGCTGAAGGGTTTTCAGAACAAGGAGCCTAAAGACTCAGTCCTCCAAATGGGCCTCCATACGGGGCATTTGAGCCATGGTCTTTACTCATGTCTAAGCAGTAATCTGCTCTCTGTGGAACAACTTTCACTAGTGTAGAATTAATGTTCTGATGGGGAAAAGGCTTTTGGTACTTAATACAATGAGCCAGGATGTACAGGAGGTTTGTTTATCACGATGGGTTGTTCCACATAATCTTCTGCAGCCTCCTGTGCATGTCAGCCCAGCCTAATACCGGGATGCAGCAGACACATCACTCCAACAGTTTCTCAAGGCTTATGCAGGGAGCTCACCCCTTCCATCCTTGCAGCCAACTTGTACCTCAGGGCAGAGAGGAAATCAAACATGGCCATGGCCACAGCCATGGCCCCTCCCAAAGGGAGGACTATTCTCTGTCCTTTAAGGACCACAGAGACCTTCTCTGAGCATGGGACTGACACAGCCTGTGCAGGTGGCATGCTGGTGTCTGACAATAACAAACCACAGGAAAGGCTCCATGCCCAGTGCTGGTCACAGTAAAGCAGGCAGACACACAGTGCTCTGCTTGGAAAGGGAGGTGCATTGCTCCAGGGATGACTTGCCTGATAGGTTGGTTGGTTACACTCATATTTAATTCCTCTGCATGTCTCTGCCCCGAGGAATGCACAGGAGGACTGAAGGATGTATCAGAGGTGCAACACATTTAAACAAACTCATCAGAAATGACAGAAATGTTATAGGATGATTATTTAGACAGCAGCATATTTTGTGCCTCATTCAGGACCTCAGTGAGATGAATCTCCATTCTCAGTCCTGCCTCTGCTGCAGCAGGGCACTGCTTCACAGCACGGGCACTGCACAAGCATAGTTCAGAGCAGTGGGGGATTCACTGGCTCAACAACAATGAGTACTCCCTCCATAGCTCCCCATTGTCATTTCATCCCCTTCCTGGCACTCCTGGCAGTCACTCCCTCCCATTGCTTTTCTTTGACACAGATCATCCTTTACATCAGTAATTGTTCCCATCATGATGCTCTGGCTTTTCCTGGTCTCATTTAGATTGGTTGTTGATGATGCAAGGACTATGAGTATCTGCAATTGAATTTGACAGAAAGGCATTCACTTAGTAAACTAGGATATGAGTCCAGACCAAATCATTGTTTCAAATGCTCGAAAGGTCTGTCAGATCATTTTCTAGGCTGGATTCATGACAACACAAGACCCTGTGGTATAAGCAGCGATGGCCAATTTATTCATTGCAAATAGATTATTCAATGCATTGGCCCATTTTTCTGTTTGTGAATCATTTGGGAATCATTTCTGATTTTTAATAATGTGTTCATAAGTATTCACCCACATGGATTATAGAAAGCCTAAGGGAACTTTGCAAACTATTCACTTTTTATTAGTAATTATCCAGCAGTTCATTTAAGTCACATGGCATCTGTTATGCTTCATCTTTGAATGATGTAACCTTTTTTTAAAACAGAAGGCTAATGACTAATAGAAGTAGACCTTTTAGGGACAAGTAAACATTCGGGACCTATGAAAAAAATCTGTACTATAAATAATAAACCAATGATTTTACAGATATTTGAGGAAAGCTCCTAGAAAGGGCTGAGCAAGGATATCTATCATTATTTTGTTTTCTTTTTTAGCTATTCTTCCAGCCCTAGGCATAATGTCAGCTAATATCATGATAACTGCAATATGAGGTTTTTTTCTTTCTTTGCTGACAGGTACCAGCAGTGCAGAAGTAAAGGAAAATCGAAACATTGGCAACCTGGAGGATCATCCAATAGCCTCTACTGAGAGGGCAAGAGGGGGAACACCTAGCAGTAAGAGAAAAAGACCCTTAGAGGAAGGCAATAATGGCCATTTCTGCAAACTCCAGCTCATCTGGAAGAAAGTTTCGTGGTCAGTGACGCCAAAGAATGCTCTGGTTCAGCTACACGAACTTAAACCAGGATTACAATATAAAATGGTTTCCCAGACAGGTCCAGTGCATGCTCCCGTCTTTGCTGTTGCTGTGGAAGTAAATGGACTTACATTTGAAGGCACAGGACCCACAAAAAAGAAAGCCAAAATGCGTGCCGCGGAGCTGGCCCTGAAGTCATTCGTTCAGTTCCCCAACGCCTGCCAAGCCCACTTCGCCATGGGAAACTGCATCAACCCATCCACGGACTTTACTTCTGATCAGGCAGACTTTCCAGACACTCTCTTCAAGGAGTTTGAACCATCTACACACAGTGAGGACTTCTCAGTCTACAACCCCGTTAACAACGAGTTGCTCTCCACCGCTTACCGACACGGGCGCTTGCTCTGCCACACGCTGGACTTAATGGGCCACGGGAAGCAGAGCAAGCACAGGGTGGCATCCAAAGCCGAGAGCGAGAAGAACCCGGTGGTGCTGCTGAACGAGCTGCGGTCGGGCCTGCGGTACGTCTGCCTGTCAGAGAGGGTGGAGAAGCAGCACATCAAGAGCTTTGTGATGGCCGTGCGAGTGGACGGCAGAACATTTGAAGGCTCAGGACGTAGCAAGAAGCTGGCCAAGGGTCAAGCAGCACAGGCAGCCCTGCAGGCCCTCTTTAACATTCGGCTGCCCAGCCACATTCCCAGCAGGAGTAAATGTCACCATTTGCCACAGGTGAGAGCTCCTGGGTAGCTACCCCCACGCTGGAGGCACCCTTTTGATGAGTGGGATTGGTATTGCTGCAGGTGTTACTGTTCTACCAGATGGTTCCTCTGATGTTACAGAAAGTGCCAAGCCACAAAACAACTTGTTTCTCATAGAAAGAGCCAGATGCCACAGGCTAAAGCTTGGAAATAGTATCCTGTAATCATTGGGTACAATTTTCAACCTTTTCCATAAGGGGCATAGATGAGAGGCCAAAATTTAAGGGGAAATATCAACATTTCAATTTGCTAGAGACAGCGATAGCATTGACACAGGTGGAAAAATCAGGTCATTCTGTGGTACTGTATCCTTCTTTACAGAAAGGAGACCATAAACAAAAGGATGTCCCATCTCCTCCTTTTAGAGTTATTTTTTTATGAGGTACATACTTCACACGTCAAAATTTCATAGTTGGTCATATGCCAAAGGTATCTTAGCGTTACTAAGACTTGTGTCAATTTTCTAAGTTCAAAGGAAGCCAGGATTGGAAGACACTGGGAAGCATTACATGCATTCAAGTAATTTATTGATTTGTTTGCACTATCAGAAAAGGTTTGATTCACCAGCACTGGGAGGTGATCTACCAATACAAAACTCCCTTTATGAAGAAAGCTGTTCATGTCCAAGGTTTAATGCAAAGCACTGAGAGCACTAAGAGCCATTCTGCTGTGGTCTTGCTGTGAGACCCTAGGCAAGTCATTTAAATTCAACATGCCTGTAATAAAAATGAGGATATTATATGAAAGAACACTTCAAAATCCTTAAGTAGTGTGTAAATGCAAATTATGAGTAGCATTTCTCATTAACATTAGTAACGATGTGCATTATATGTTCAAGGAGTCTGACAGGAGAGGATTCCTTTAGATGACATGATTGCCTGCAGGACCCAGGAATTTTATTTGTTGACCCAGAAGTTTCCTTCGTTTCCAAAAAGGAAACATGACAAATCTGAGAAATTCTAAAATACACCGTAATCCTCCACCCCTTTCTTTTAATTCTGATTTGCAAACTCCATGAACCAACAGGATAATAACGTATCTCAGTAGTAGCAGTGATCTTCACACCATGCTTTGCAGGCATTTTGGAAACCCCGGCCAACTTGGCATTTTCATTCTTCCAGCACTCCTTCAAAGTACACATAGTTTTCAATGTTTCATAGTTTTCCTACCCAAATTAATTTTGGTAAGAAGTAATCCCATTCTGCTGGCTGCTTTGCTGCCCCAGTGAACTTTGCTGGGTGTGTCAGCAGGTAAATACCATGCATTCCTCAACGGATGGTTTGTCACATTCTGAAACTGCACCACAAGTATCACTGACTCAGTTTCTGAGCTCTCTGAAATATTCACTGGTTGCTTGGCTTCACAATCACCTTCTACCTGAATATCACATTTTACCTCAGTCTCCAGTTGTTCACTGGGTGGCACATTCTTCAGTCTAAGTTCCCTTTTTTATGGTCTTTCCTCCTTTCTGTAGACTGCTGCCCTCTTATTCTTCTCACTGTTCTGGAAGTATAAATGTCAGTGAAAAGGTGTCACTGAACTTTCTGTGTCAGTATTTTTTGAGTGGTTACGTATTGTCCAACTAAGAGATTACTCGGGCACTTTTAATGCCAGCATTCAGCACATTAATTGAGAGATAAGCCTTAACACTGATTTCTGCTGACCTCCTCACTAACTACTCTCATCAACAGATATAGCAGCTGTGACACAAAACCTGAGTTTGAGTTGCTCCCTTAAGTCTTAACTTCCTTAGAAACCAACAGACCTATTTCCACTGACTTCAGCTGGGTTACAGCTTAAGCATTAAATCCAGAAGCACCTTTTCTTGTTCTCGCTGTGGTATTCAGCATCTCATCAAGTGACTGCCTTTGCTCACTGCTTCGTTCAGCCCATCGGGCTGGTTGGTCAAAGTGGTATAACCATACTGGGGAGAGTGTAGCTCTCAGTGAGCCCTGGTCAGGGGTGGCTGCTCCAAACATTGTTTCAGCTCTTTCTTGTCTCCCTGATCTTATGTGAACCACATTTTCAAGGACATGTTTCAAGCCAAGATTTCAAAACTATTTCTACTTAGTAGGCTTGGTTTTTGTCCATAACTATTTAAAAGCAGGAGAGCACCCTGAAATCCAAACAACTTAGGGGTAGAATTTGTTAGGAAGGATTGATTTCATCACAGAATAAGGAGCAACTGTTGTTCTATTGTGCTTCATTGTTGTTCCAACTTTGTGTGTCTCTGCTTCTGTTTCCCTTGCTGTTACTGGTGATGTGTAGGTGGCCACAATTTGGCTTTTCCTGATTATAGCCTTACTGGAAACAGTAAATAGCCAAAAATCTTGTAACATTGGTAGTCCAGTTATTCTGAACTTTTAGATTTCACAGTGTCCCAAACAAACAAACAAACAAACAAAAACAACAACAAAAAAACCCCAGATGTCCTTATGAACTGGGCCTCTAAACCACTTATATTTCTACCTTGCTCATTAGGGTTCCCAGGGGACCTGGTGCCCCTCAGCCTGGGCTTTGGGCATGGCTTTGGACTGACAGACACTTTTCTGCTGACTAAGGGAGATTGAGTTTGAAACATCAAAAGAAACACCATAAGAAGAGAGAACTGAAAGGAGGTTGTAGCCAGATGGGGAATGGCCTCTTCTCCCAGGCAATCAGCTACAGGACAGAGAGGACACAGCCTCAAGCTATGCCAGGGAAAGTTCAGGTTGGGCATCAGAAAAAATTTCTTCACTGAAAGGGTGGTTAAGCATTGGAGCAGGCTGCCCAGGGAGGTGGTGGAGTCACCATCCCTGGAGGCGTTCAAGAAACGACTGGACATGGCACTTAGTGCTGTGGTTAATTGGCATGGTGGTGTTCAGTCAAAGGTTGGATTTGATGATCTTGGAAGTCTCTTCCAACCTTAATAATTCTATGACTCTATGATTCTATACCCTCCAGTCTGTCCTGAGAAGTGCTGTCTACACAGGAGGCTTCCTGAACCACGAGGAAATGCAGAGTATGGATGTAAAATCCTATCACCTTGATCTCTTTGGATTCAGGTGAAACACAGAACTACAAAAATAGTAAAGCCAGAAATAGGTCAGTTCCCTGGGTCATCTGCAATCCAACTTGCTTCTTCAGCTGCCTCTCCTGCCCCTCACCCGCTAATGCTGAAAACACAGTGTGAAATTCTGAGCACTTTACAAAACCGGTGCTTTCGTAAAAGACCATCACTGTGCCTCCTACTTTTTTTCATGTGATTGCTGCACAATATGTTTGGACTAACTGCAAACTTATATCCCAAAGGAAAACAAATCCATATTACAATTTACACCAGAAAAAAAAATCTCATAACCTAAAGTCAAAATAATTGAGGTTATGCTTTCTTTACTGCCATCAGCAGTGCATTAATCCACTTCTGTGAGTCTCATGCTGCCACAATGGTGATTGGGAGACCTGAGCTCTTGCCCATGTATAGGGTGAATAGAAGGCAGCTGAGATAATCCAAGAACCAGCTGAAATGGTCACAAGATTTGCCAGTTCTTCCTCAAACCAGGTATTTTATCTGTGCTATGCATTGAAGTGCAAGATAAATGCTATTGATAGTCTGAGTCTGAGCATAGCGTGTTGATCAAAATAGGCAGGATAGAAGCCTGGAGATCTGCTAAACTCATGGCAGAGATAAAGTGAATCAGGAGAATGGAAATTACAGTGAATCACTGCACCTTCTATAAAAGTCACTAAATATTGCTCCTTGTTTTCTAGCATACTTGGTCTGAAATCTTACTGTCCATCAAACAATATGCAATGTCTTCAATTATCAGTTTTTATGGAAATCTGACAATTGTTTCTCCCCACCTTTGAAGCTCATGTTCTTATATGGCAAAACAGGAGGAGACATCAGAGAGTGCTGACCTAACCAGCCCTGCACTGCCAGGAATTCATGCACAGACTCCCAGGGTTTCCAAGTACAGTGTGCTCATTTCAGGAGATCAGGGTGACCCCCAACTGCATCTGACCAACTTACAGATTGTTTTTCTAATCTTTAAGTCCTTCAAATCTATCTCAGTCTAAACAGCATTCTTACTGCTGTAGAGCAAAACCATTAATTAATATTGCCATAACAAATTAGTAATAGAGGAGTGCTTGGATTTCAAAAGGACCTAAATTAGAAAAGAATAGGTGTGAAAATCACATTCACTCTGCTTTGAAATGGCTTTACGCTGCTGGTACTGGTTCACATCCAGAACATCCAGAGCAGTGGTTGTCAATTCATTTATTTAAACGAAACCTCATTCTGTTTTGTGTGTGTATCATCATAAAGAAGCAGGGTTTTTTCCTTTGGCAAATAGAGCTAACCTTTTGAATCCAGCTAAATCCCCCACTTGCCAAAAGCTTAATTTCCTGACTGAAACAACCTCAGTATCCCTATTGCTAAGATTCTTTACCTCAAGCAGGTCAAGGATTCCTACCATTTAACTTCAGTGTCACCTTGGTGTGAAGGTGGCAGTACCATGGAAAGAACAACCACCATGTCAGGGAAGGCCCCATACCCCACACCTCTCACCCACTTCCGTCCAGAAACCTGCTTCCCTGTGTTGCCAAACTGGTTCATTTTCATGCTGTGTCAGTTGTTTCTGCCTCCTTCACTTTATTTCTCTCACTATCCTCATTTGCCAACTTCCTTGCAACCGTGCCCTCTCGCCCATGTCGCAATTAAGCCAGGGCTGAGGTTGGCAGTGATAGATTTGACTCCAGCGTTAAGAGTAGCAGCACACAGAGCAGGCGTTGAGCTTCGAGGAGCTGCTCCAGCACATTTCTGCGAAGAGCTCTGTGGTCAAGTGAGCAGGTACATTGTTTTATAACCTTCTCTGTTTTCTGCTGCACAAAGAGAAACAGCTGATAGGTGTTATGTGCAGCTCCTGACAGAGGGATGCAAGAAAGAGGAATGGTGGGAACCAGACACATGCCTTTGCAATACAAATA